TAACCTTCCTCCATGCTACTGCTTACACACTGAAGGTGCTCCTACAATTCTCTTGGGCTACCTCAATCTCATTCTTCAAGTCTCTCCTTAAAGCTCTGCTTTGCTGAGTTGCTAAAACCCAGGTGATATCTACGCTACTCACATGCTGAGACCATGCTGTCACCTTCTTGTATTACTTCCCCTCTCAGTGGTATCTATCAAATAATTTATTTTACCCTCTAAACTCTTAAAAACAAAGGCTATATTTTTATTGTGTGTTCCATTGGACCCCGAAGGTGGAGGTTAGCCAGAACTTTGAATAGGGATTTCTGGTAATACAAACAGTAGAGCAATAACAGTTGATTGCCTACCTTTCTGTTGATGAGTAGTTGAGAGCATTTGGAAAATCTGTGTTGTACAAATTCTGGTTAAAATTACTTGAAATGACTTTTGAGAAATGGAGGCAGCTGATGGAACCACAGGTGGGGAGGGGAAAGGCATGGCTGCAAGGCCTCATTTCCTTGAGCAGGTAACAGACAGAAGAATGCTGCCCTAGAAGCACACAGAAAGGGTGGAAGCACTGTTCCAAGCAGCTTGAGACCTCCTGGGAACTCAAGGTCACCAGTCAGCTTCTGCTGATGAACCAAGACCTGTGCTGGTGGCAGCATACCTGCTGTATCATCTCAGGGCTTTCTCTCAGACATTTGGTGTCTTTCTCCCCTGCAGAGGGAAGGTGGTGGCTCTCCCTTTCTCTGACACGTCCCACACCTACAGTTTTCACAGGGCTGTTCTGTCTTCACCCACAACTCAGCAGTGTTGCAGAAACAACAAAAAAAGCATCAAGCAGCCTGGATAGGAAGTTGATTTGTCTTCCAGTCCCCCAGCTGCGGTAAGAATGCCCTTGCTGCTAGGACTGGAGATAGAGCATGCCAACAAGATGTCGCCTTGCAATGGTGCTGGCACCTTATGGTTGGTTCCTGGCTTGATAATCAGCTTCTTGCTTTCCTCTGGCTGCAGAAAGAACTGGCAGTGTTCAGAGATGATGGTTACTGGGAAGAATGATGAAAGCCTGCTATGTCACCAAGAATCCCATCACCCATCCATTCTCACTGAAATTGAAAAGTGCTTTTGCACTTGCCTCATTTTTGTTGCACTCTGCGGCTGCTGTCCAGCACTGAGCAGAGCTGAGGTTTGAATTGACTGTGTCTACTTTGCTACACAGCCTATCAAAACCTTCATACTGACCTGCGTAAGACGAAGATAATTTCACCAAAGCATTCATTTTCTTCTGGGACTTGCTAAGACAGTTCATCTGTGGTCAGGCTGGGCTAGCACCAGCTCAACCTGCCTTAGGGTAACATGGCGATTCTTTTCCCGCAGCTGGGCGACTTGAACCAGGTGGGCAGCACCATGAGTATGAAAGATGAGAAAAGGCATCGGAGCATCTCTAGGATTCTAGCCAAGTTTTCAGTTATTTTCTTGCAAGGCCAAACTCATTGCAAGCAACAGCAGACATTACTCAAATGACCTCATGAATATGTCTCTACGCTTCCAATTGGTATTTCCCCTGAACACAACTAAATGTACAATTATTGCTGTCCTTCATAAGTGAGAAGTGTCTGGCAGCTATTGAGATGTGATAGGGCCTGTTGGCAAACCAGCTTTTTAGGACGTGCTATAGGTTCACCTTAGCAGGGCTGAGGATTGCCGATGCTAAGAGGAGAACACTATAATGATCGCTTTAGGACAGACGGCTATAACTGAGTCCTGCATCAATTTCACGACGTCCATCTGAGCTAAGGATGTTTTCTTTTAAAGATACTCAACCAGGATTTATAGACTACAAGTCTTGGATCATATGTTTAGGCAAAAGGTTCTAGCAATAAAGGTAGTTCCCTTTTGTACAAATTCTGCCCTTTGCTTCTGCCTAATTGTATCTACCTTCAGTGCCCAATAATGGATTCTTTCAGCTTTCTCTAGTAGATTTAAAAAAAAGACTTTTCTCCTACCTGAAAAATTCTTGCGTTGTAAGATAGTTATGGCTGGTGTAAAACAATGACCTGGCCTTCCCTTTGGTTAAGTTAAAGATATTTAGTTGGTCTTCAGTTGTTCATCTCTGAGAAAAGTTATCCAGGGTTAAATCATTCTTATAGTCCTTTTCAGAACAATCTTCATCTTTTCAGCAACTTTTTGTTTGAAGTGTGGATCCCAGCAGAAGAAATGAACTAACAATGATGTTGTGAATGCTACATGTAGCTGCAATAACATTTCTTTTAATTGCTCTGCATCCACAGTCTGTGTGTTAGCTCCTCTAATTGCATTAATGCACTGCAGAAGCTCATTCATCTGGTTATGCGCTGTTTCCCAAAATCATCTTCTGATAAGCCTCTCAGAATTCAGCATTCCATGACCTACTTGTGACTAACCCTCATGGCTTCTAACAAAAAAGATTTGCATTTAAATATGCTGTATTTGTTTTCAGGTGAGCTAGAGGTCCAGGGAATGCCTGGCATTTCAGAACTGAACAAAGAACTTCTTTTGGCAGGAGGGAGTTTATCAAATTAGCAGCAATTACCTGGAAATATTCTGTCCTGGTTTACTTATCTTGACCCATGTTTGTTTGTTTGTGTGCCTGAACAAGCTCGTGTAAGTACATGCATAATTCTACTTAATGCAGCTCTCTCTATTTCATATTTAATCAGTCTTACTGTATTTATCACCGGGATCGTATGCAACCCTGATTAGAATGATAAGCAGGGGAGACTTCGTGCCTCCCAGCCTCCCTCGGCTAAAATGAGCGAATGGTGATGCTTCCTCTCAACAACCCCCACGCTGAAGGAGGGCTGCAGCAAAACAGGATATTTACCAAAACCCTGTAAATGACAAGGTGGTGAAGTGGAAGCCAGAAAGATTCCTTTTCTCTTGATCAGTGTCTGAAACACTGTAATTATTTTAGTATTTAATTCCGAAAAGGGACACCGTAAGCAGGCATAATTACAGGAAAGTGGTTGATACATGGACGCTGCTGTCTAGCTCTGTGAAAGCTGGGACTAGAAGAATACTCACGGTCATGGAGCCCAGCTCCTGCTACTGTAGCCATCAGAGCATTTAATCCCTTCAGTAAAACAACCCTCGTGATTGAAATACCACAATCCTTGCTACGCGTAGGCTCGCTCTTTCTCACTTGCTCCTATTCAAGACCACCTCAGACCCTCTGTTGTTAGAAACCACCACCTTATTCTATAGCCAGGCTATGCCCATTTGGTCTTGCGCCAACGCTGTACTTCAGTGTTTTGCCTACCCCGACACATCTCTCTCCCTTCCCCCAGCTGCTTCTGAAAGTGAGAGCATAACCCCTGGCAAATTCAGCTTGGTTTTTTCTTTTTTGCAATAACTAAGCCAAGCTCTTTCAAGACAGATCATTCTCCCAGCCTTTCGCTACCCCAGCCCCAGAGCTCAGTTCAGGTCCACGCTGCGCAGACAGCACAGTGTTCCTCCTCGAGTATTTTTTTAGTTTTTCCAGTTACTGGTTTTGTCTATACTTCCCAGTGGTCTCTGCCTACAGACTCACTCCATGTTTTCTGAGTTCCAGGCTGAGGCCTGGGCTCCTGAGAACAGCACACTTCCCACAGAAGTGCTGGGCGTCTTTGCTGTGTTACGGCAAACTGGAAGCATCTTGAAACCCCACCATATATTGCTGAGTGGATCAGGTCAGGATTCTTCATGTTAAACTTTGTTTGCTGAAAAATGATCAAATCAGAAGCTTTTTATGAAAAAGTATTGTTTTAAATGAAAACCTCATCAGGAAAGAATTCGCAGAATGGCATTTCTGGTTAAAAAGAAACAGGGAGTTCAGCACAACCTTGTAGAGAGAGAAGTGTTCCATATTGCAGAAGATACACTTCGATACCCTCACACAACCCTTCAGTTAATGGGGGTAATGACTAGGCCCTAAGTGTTCTCTCTCCCTGATGAGTGCTTTGACCAGGAGAGCAGCAGCTGTTCTCTCTGTTTCTGTCTTTTGGAGTTTTCTTTCATGGTAAGGAAATACTTATGTGAGGGAAATATGATCCCAAGATTCCCACACTGCAGAGGAGCGTTATCTGCCTGGAGTTGTACCTTCTTTTGTGTGTGTCTGAGAGAGAGAGAGAGCTAGGATAGGGCTTGGTTTTGTTCAGATAGGAATGGGCGAATGTCTAAAACAAAATATCTGTAGGCTAGAACACTCATTTCTATCCCAGCTTTTGTTCCTGACCTCAAACCCTTTCACACTGGCTCAGGACAACCCAAGTGGCCTGAAAAGAGACTCCCTCCAAAGCTTTGTGACACCAGCAGGTCAAGCAAGCGTCCCTCCAGCTCAGAGAAAGGGGAGGTGCAGAAGTTCCTCGGCTCCCCCACGGGAAGCAAGCACCATTGTGCGAGGCAGACAGCAGTGTCTGTGGTATAGAAGTCTTTCAGCAGGTGACTGCTGCTGATGGACAGGCTCGGGAGAGAAAGATCTATCGGAGCCTTGAACATGCAGAAATCATGTCTACTCGAGGAGGCCCCTGAGCTGCAAATGTCTGGAGGCTGAAAATGTTCTCAGAGAAGAACATCTATGCTTCCTCTCTTGCTACGGCTTTCTCTAAGCATCTGGTTTTAGTTCCTGTCAGAAACAGGATACAGGGAAATATGAGCATTTGTTCCAACCCACTGTGGCTCTTGCTGCTCTTAAACTGTCATAAATCAGATGCCAAAAAATGCAGGGAGAAGGAAAGATGGAACACCCCACTGCCCTTGATCAAATGGCAGGAATTAAAGGTTTCCTTTCAGACAGCTGGTGCTTTAGATTCCTGTGCAAAGTACTATTTACTGCCATAAGAAGAACAGTTCCTACAGAAGAAATGATATAGCTGAGTTGGTGCCCTGTCTGACAGAGGCAAGGTCAGCTTGTGCCAGGGCTGGCAGGCGCAGGTAACTAAAGCTTCGACCTGCTGGTGCAAATGCAGACAAAACAGCTTCTAACGACTGTTCTGTTTTAGGTTCTGTCTGGATGGGGGGAGACACATGGCATCTGGGCTTCCGGCTGGGCCTGACTGCTCTGCTGCTCTTTGGTGGAGGAAGAGGGAAAGGTAAGAGGGCACCTGGAACAGGTCCGCTGTGGGAAGAGGCACGTACACGAACTCACTTTTCATCCACAGACCCTAAAATACACAACACGAGATCTTGTGACTGCCCTTTCCCAGGTCCCAGGAACCAGCACAGCTAGCTGGCAACGCAGGTAAGGGAACTGAGCAAGCACTGGCTGAGCTGGGCAGCAGGATAACGTAGGTCCCTGCCCTAAGATCTTGCATTCATCTCATGCGGTGAAGTGCGGTACAGGAGACAAAGAACATCGTGAGGAAGGATAGAGGAGGTGAGCGAGGCCTCGTCAGGATATACACGAATGCAGCTCTGGTCTCCTTCCTCTGCAGAGTTCCCCGGCAGCCTGAGCTGCCTGAATAATTACGTGACTACCGTGAGCTGCACGTGGGCAATGGAGGAACCTGTGGGTGATGGACCTTTCCACCTGCATTTCACCAAGTAAGAGCTGCGCCCTGAGAGCTGCCTGTGGCGGCCCCAGCCCTGGCATGGGCAGGAGAGAGCCAAGGAGCCAAGATGAGGCCCGGTTGGGCGCTTGGCTCCCTCCGCAGCGGGAGACCCGAGGCACAGCAAGCTCTGCCACCTCATCACCCTGTGCCTGGGCTGCCTTCGAAGCTGCTCCCTTTGCACCCCTCTATAGGCCCACGGCCACGGGGGGTGCAGCAGAGGTCACGCATGGCTGCCCAGCCTCGTGCCAGCCCAGGGCTGTCCCTCTGTCCAGTGTCCCCTCCTGGCAGGAAAAGCTGTCCTGTCCCAGCCCCCGCTCCCCATGATCTGGGGACTTCCAGATCCCATCCTACGTGAAGCTGCCTCATCAGTCTCTGGTCTTCTTGTCTTGTTGCCTAGAAATGACATCCCTGGTAGTTTAATCAGAATTAGTTAATACACACACACAAAAGGATTTTTAAAGTCCAATGAGTTATAAGCTTTAATAACAGATTTAGAATATTACGTGAATAATTTTTCCTCTAACAGAAGAAATCAGGTGAATAGTTTGCTAGGTGATAGGATAATAAGCATTGTGATATGCTAATTTGACGTGACTGTGTTTAGATTATGTAATAATGTTGTCGTGACTACCAGTCACTGGTGAACTATTGTGTGAGGGTAAGCCACGCTGACATTAGATGCCTCATATATTCTGGTAAAGTTAAGTCAAGAATAGCCTCGCTCTTAATGACACTGGATTTTAAATCTATGAAAAACACCAAGCTGACAAACTGTGGCGTCCCAGTTTATTGTGGGGTCACATGCAACATGAAAAATTTGCTGATAAATGGCTACATTAGATAATTTAATAATAGAAAAACATTCCTTGGAGCTATTTCCCTAAGCTGATGTTTTCTGCCATTCATCCTGTTATGCTGTGCTGAAGCTTGCAAATATTAAAAAAAACCCCAAACGACCAAACAACAAACGAACGTCTGAGACATTGTGGTGTAAGTACTGGTTTGTTCATAGCAAGAGAGGCTTTATTGTATGACCTGTTAGCTCTGTGCTCTGCACTTGTAACCAACCGTCCACCCACTCCTAGCCCCTACGTCAGCTGCTTTCCTGGCAGCGACACAGAGCAGCCCTCGCTTTCGGAGGGAGCTGGGCCAGGCACTGGGCTCTGTCTGCAGCTCCTGGGGGTTTGCAGCTCTCAGCAGGGAGGTTATGACTGTGTCTCCCTCCTCCTCTTCAGCCCTGCTGTCCAGCCAGCTTTAGCATTGCTTTCTCTGCTGTCTGCGCTGAAGACGCTCATGTTCTTCCAGAATGTGGTGCTGTGCTAAGCTGCCACCCATCTTCCATAAACTGACAAGCACTTAATCATGTGACTTCAAAGAAACTTTCAGCCCTTCTATTCTTCTAGCCTCTGGTCAAAGGGCCACAACGCCAGCTGCAAACTGACTGCCAGAGAGAGCACGCGGAATCAGTACCACTGCACAATCCACTTAGCCAGCCAGATCTTGGAAATAGATGGTTATAGAGTCTCTCTCCAAGGCAACTTCTTTGGACGTAATCACACGTACATTACCTTCCCAGAGTACAATCCCCGCGAGCACAGTGAGTATGAACCAGGGCAGCTGTGGGCTGAGGCTCTGCCCAGCAGCTCTGGGGTACGTCTGATGTGCTCTCTGACAAGGAGTGTCTCAAAGACAGCAACTGAAAATAAATGGAAACAAGCCAGCCTGCCCATGCCTGGAGAGTGCGCTATGTGGACTTCATCTGTAAGGATGCAGTCCCAGTGTCTCTCCATTCTGCCTTTTCCAGGACTTCAGAGGGGCTGGCTTTGGAGCACCTTTCAAGTATACTCTGCTGCATCATGTTTTCTTGTGCCATGGATAATGTACACTTGGATTGCCTCTGTAGTTGCTTTTTTTCTAAGAAATGAGGTCATGAGGTGTCAAACTCAAGGTCTCATGGCCTGGCACTTCAGAGAAATGCTCTGGTATTCGGCATCTCAGAGCCTGTCCATATTAGTGGTATGTTGGAAGAGCAGAATGTGACATCCAGAGTGGTTCTTTGCTTGCAGGGCTGTCCCCAGGGGCTGAGTTATCATTAATTTATGTCAGTTCTGTAGCTGTTCTGACCAACCCTGTAAGCTAATTTTGTCTACTGCTGGTCCTAGTATCGCTCTTTAGACCCAGCTTTATCTTCCAAGACTTTAGTCAGCCTAGTATCATGCAGTGTTCATGTCCCAAATATTGTGGAAAACCCCTACCTCTCTATTTGCAGTAAAGCTTGATCCACCTTTGGACATCCAGAGCAACGTCACTGCCAGCAAGTGTCAAATATGGTGGAATATGCCTTGGTACCTCGCTGGAATCCTTCAGTATGAGTTGCAGTATAAGGAGTACAGCATGTCTTGGGAGGTAACTGGATGAGGCACACACTGATATGGCCTTGCTCACTGGGTGCAATGGCCTTGCCACTCAGCTCAGGGCCTTCTGGCAGCTGGCTGTTTTAAGATGGCCTTTCTGGTTTCCCACATCAAGGCTGAAAGATTTTATATGAAACATCAATACTGAAGGTCAGTAAATCTTCTCCTGAGCCCGCATTCAGAAGTCATCCATCATCATGCAGGCCCTCTTTCTGCATCCAAGAAAAGAGAATTTGGAAAAGAAGGGGGGGGAAGGGGCGGGGAAGAGCATGTAAAAGACCATCCCTTTGCCCGGCCTTGTTAACATGAATTCTCTGTCATAATTTGCAGATCGCATTGAACAAGACACTACCCAGTTCGCTGCCACAGATAGAAATTGAAGCCTCAGAGCTTCGCAGTGGCATTGCTTACATTGCACGAGTTCGCTGCAAAATTTCTGAATATGAGGAGTCGTACCATAGTCAGTGGAGCGAGTGGAGCCAGACCACAGTGTTCCAAAGAGCAGGTATAAAGAATGTTGGTTTTACCTTAACTCGTGTCTTTTCATGTCCGTGTTCCAAAACCAAGGAAGACACCTGGTAAAATGAAATGTTTCAAATCAGAACTGGCTTCCTTTGAGTTTTTGTAGCCAAATCGCTTTCCTTCAGGTTATGAGCAGCCTGTTTCATTTTCATTGCTTGGGCATTTGGGGTTCTATCTTGACTTCCAGACTTTTTATCAATTATTTTTGTGCTGATTCTTTTCCTAGATGTACCAAAACTGTCTGAAAAGATGCTAAATACCAGAACTATGCAGTTCTTGTTAATTCCTCTGAGTTTTGGCACTCTAGTCTACTTATTTTGGAACTGCAAGCTTTCTTCAAGGTATGTTACAGTTTTTCATTAAGTTCCCCTTGATCTTTACAGCCTGAAGAGGGCAAATCAAGTGTCCTTTTGCCTCCTGTTTCTGCTGCACAGACTCAATCATTTTCAACAGCTCTTTTGACAATCTTAGGACAACGTGTCCTGGCTTCAGCTGGGACAGAGTTAATTTTCTTCCTAGTAGCGGGCACAGCGCTGTGTTTTGGATTCAGTACTAGAAGAATGTTGGTAACACCCTCATGGTTCAGTTGTTGCTCAGTAGTGCCTAGACCAGTCAATGACTTTTTCAGCTTCCCCTGCTCTGCCAGGGGCACAGGGAGCTGGGAGGGGGCATGGCCAGGACAGCCGACCCCAACTGGCCCCAGGGCTATTCCAGACCACAGGGCATCATACTTGGGGGGAGTTGGCCAGGGGCAGTGACCGCTGCTTGGGACGGGCTGGGCATCAGTCAGCAGGTGGTGAGCAACTGCATTGTGTATCACTTGTTTTTATATAGTCTGTGTATTCTATTACCTTTATTATTATTGTTATTCTTTTCCTCTGCTGTTTTATTAAACTCTCTTTATCTCAACTCACGGGTTTCACTTTTTTTTGATTCTCTCCCCCAGCCTACTGAGGTGGGGGGGAGTGAGCGAGTGGCTGGGTGCTGTCCCGCTGCCTGCCAGGTTACACCATGACAGCATGACTGTTCCTTGGCTGATGATAGTTAACAACCCGCTACACAATCCTTAAGGAGATCACAGTGCCTCTGTAGCACCCAAACTCAGCTAAGGGTCAAGGCTGAGGGTCTCTTGGAGTTAAAGAAATTTAAACCCATGGAAATGTTCTGTTAAGTTTCATGTAGATAATTAAAAGTGCAAGTACAGAGCAATCCATAAAGGTGGTTAAACAGATGTTAGCGTTAAGCTACTTGTGACCTATCTGGCAGTAGTCAGTATGTAAAATACAAATACAGGCAAACTACACTGACTCGGGTTCAGTGTTTCTTAGGTTCTGGGACCAAGTTGTACAGAGAAAAAAGTGTCTCTAGAGCCTTGGTTCAACCAGCCTCTGCAATTTTTTATGCTGGCAGAGGAAAGGTAAATCTCCTACCTCTTCCCTTTCTGCCTTGACATACATTATTACACTCCACATACACATCACACTTAGAGAAACAGAATATATGATGTCCATACGATAAAATACTTTTACAGGATAGACTCTAATAAAGGGACTAGGATGTCTGGCAGAATTTCTCTGTCTAAATGTAATGAAACTAGAACTCTCTAAAACATTTCCAGACACAGTGCTTTAGATCAAAGAAGTTGCTAAACAAATGCATAAACAGCTCTGTGCATATGAGTAATAGACTAGTATCGCGTTTGCAGCACATGGCATTCCAGAAACTGTTAAGATGGTGCTTCAGGCTAGAAACATTAAACGTATGCACAGGAGGCAGACAAACAATTCCATGAGGTGTCAGAGACCATGTGAAATGGGCTCCTCATGCAATCTTGCTAATGTAAGTGTGGGGCTTTCATCTAATCAGTGTGCTATATCATCGAGACAGAATACAGAAAAAATGTCTGTTTTTTTTATTTTAAGTGTTGTTTTCTCACTTCAGGGCAAAAAGCCTCTCCTGCTTTAACATTCCCACGCCAGCTGCTTTCTTCCAGCCACTCTATAATTTGCACAATGGGAATTTTAAGGTAAGAAATAAGTTTCATTTCTTTCTTATGACCCCCAGTTCATGAGGGGAGGATTTTTTTTTTCCCCCTGGGATTAATCATTCTAGCTCCTGTGCAGCATTACTGACACACAGCTCTGGTCTTCCTGGGAGTTCACAGTTTCTCAGTTTCCTGCCTCCATGTACTAGCTCCACCACGAGAGCTTCTGTCCAGCTTCTCTCTCCTTAGAAATAAACCCCCTCCAGTCACTCACTCCCTATCCACGTTGAACGTGAAATATGCACCCTTTCTTTGCAAAGCCGAAGTGATACAAGCAGCCTGCAGTATATTCTGGAGGTGAAATCTTCAAAATTTCTTGTGAAATCTTGTGAAATCAGCAGCTAGATCCTCTACCCTATTACTCTAACTTTGCCCAGTAGATTTGCACTAAACCCGGATTATTGTGCCAAAGCCATATAGAAGGAACAGTTATTCTGCAAATTCCAACTCTAAGCAAAATGTCCTGAACTTACCGATCCTTTCACTAGGACTGGGTTGGACCTAGTAAGGCTTGTAGCCAACTCAGAAGACAAGAGGCCAGCGACTCAAAGAAAGTGACTGCAGATGGAGATTCTGATTTAAACACCCAAGAACTGATATCCCAGGTCTCCTTGAAACCTATGGAAAGCACAAGTCTGGGTGCTGCAGAAGAAAACTTTGTATTCGCCTCAGGTCCAAGCCATCAGTATGTACCCAGCAGGTACATAAAAGCAGAAGAGATAGAAGCGAGGCTGGGACTATTGTTTGCACAAAACCATGCTGATGATACAGCTGACCCAAAAATCTCTGAAATAATTAAAGCCAACCTTCAGAGTCCTAGCATGGGAAGGAATTACTCCTCTCACTCACAGCATGGAAAGGGTGACTTCCTTATGCTTCAGGAATCTCTGGAGATAGTAAACGTGTCCTTCAGCAGTAGCGACTATTGTACCTTGTGTGACAATGATACCACAGGAGGTTTGATTCCTGCGGAACCCCTGAAGTTCTCCAACGGTAACAGTCTTGCTAAACATCGGAATGAGCAGAGTGACCTTCCCTGAGGAATACTGCCTGCAAAGATCTTTGTGCTGTCCTCTTCCCTCCCAGCATTGTCTTCCCAAGTGGCTTACATGGTGACTGTGCAGACAATTACAGGTGTATCATTGTTAGGTAAATTCTCAGTTTCTGTATTTCAAAAGAAGATTGTGGCCAACTGCCCTGGCTAGCAAACACCACCCCACAGGCATGGCAAGGCCCCACTCCAGCAACATCGGCTGTCTCAGGGGACACATGACCATGCCCTTCTGTAAATCAACCTCCTGGCAGCAGCAGAAGTTCAGCAGTCCCCTACTCAAAGGAAGCAGCGGCAGACCTGCTGGTTTATCCTCAGGAAGAGCTACTGGAATTGCCTGCCTCTCCCCGCCCTGTAAGATGCTGCTTTCCAAATTTCCTTGTCAGACGACTGCACTGCTCTCAGTAGATGGTCCTGCTCTCAGTAGATGGTCCTTTCCTCACTGCAAATCAGATTAACCCAACATTTACTGAGGAGCAGCACCATTGCAATGTGCTGCACCATGATTTAAACTCCATCATTATTTTAAAACTATGTACAATTCTTCATAAAACCATGATAAACAATTCTTGCTACAGAGAGTAATTTTGCTTCTTAGTATGATAGTGATAGCTTCAAATGGTTCCTGATTTCATCAGAATTTATAATTGCACTATTTAAAGATAATCAGGTGGTGGGCCTTGTTCTTTATTACCTTTATTATCCTGAATGGCTGTAACATGGCAGTAACTAAGCCCCATGTACTGCTTTGATTTTAACAAAATATATTCCAAGGTTAAGTGGCTGGGCTGATCTAACGGAGAAAGGTGAAAAGCAAGAATAGCACAAGAAAGCTTTATTTAATCTCAGGCCGGGCACGGCCCACTGCCTCTCCAGGTCTTCTATTATTTCTCCAGAACTGACAAGTCCTTTGCCTGTCTGCTCAACAGGTACAGCCTTTCTGAGCCAAACCTCTGGAGGTTTACTTTCTGCCCTACACACAGAAAATCATAAATATGATTGATTACCCACCAAGCAGAGTCCTGGAGTCTCAGTCACATAGCCTAGATCTAAAGGGCTCAAAGCTGTAGCAAGCACACTGAGATGTGTACACACGCACCCACCCAAGCTGGCACACGCGAGCAGGCAGCCGCGCACGGCTACTCCCTCCCCTTTGGGAGTGCTTCCCTCGTCTCCCTGGTGACTGGTAGCGCTGATTCATTTTGACACCGCAAAGAAAGATTTCAGATTTTATAAGTAACAAAGTAGATCGAGACACCCTTCCCAAAATGTGTGCTAAGCCAGAGAACTACTGTGGGAAGGCTTCATCTGGGAGAAAAGCAGCAACAGAACAAGTTCACACCCAGCTTGTGCGACAGCCACAGGAGGTGCCAGCAGTGATTTGTTGTCAGTGTTGTAAGCAAAGGGCTCTTCTGATATCTGAAAAAAATATCCCCTTTCTGGTTCTTTGTGCTTTTTGTCCTGTAAAAACTATATCCAAGGGTGCTTTTTATACTATATCACAATCTAATGGCAGGAGAAGAATGTGATGTTACTGCCATTAACAGCTCCTCTCATTTCCTCTGGAGAAGAAAATCTGTAAAACAAGACCACATCCCTGAAGGATTTTGGTGATCCCAAAATTTTAGACCCCCTGGCGTGGCTTGATGTCGTATCCCAAATTTCAAATCTTCAGAATCAGAGGGATGCTTCCTGAAATTGTCAGATCAATTGTATCTTAAATCTCTCGGATCTTGACAGCCCTTGCTTATGAACACACCTGCACAGAAACTGAGCCAGTTTCACAAAGCCTTGTTCAGTTAACAAGGCATTCCGTCCTGGCAAGACTAGCAAAAGGAGAATGGGAACAATTACATTCAGATAGGAGTAAGGAGCAGCAGGTCAGGCCATAGCAGGGAGAGCACAAAGCCTAATGAGATAGAGAAGCAAAAGGAAATAGAGAGATTGAATGTAGTAGGAAATGACTCTAGAGAAATTAAAAGTCAGAGCTGCTGCTGCTGCCTGTGTCTGTCAGGCCAGGACAGGAAGACTGTAAGGACTGAGCTGGAGGTGATGGCAGGCTGACGGGCAAAGGGCTAGCATGATATTGCAGCATCAGCGATTCCCCAAGTGAAACGCTAACAATTTTGAGCTGCTTCTACTTTTACACAGCTACTTACAGAATGGAAAAGTGCGAAGAGGACAGGCACCATAGAAAATAGTAGTTGTTGTGGGTAGGAAAAAAGAACAAAAGGCCTCTGCTTTACAGTTAGGTCTTTGGAACAACTGAAGCCTCATTTTTATTCAGCCAATGAAAAGCTACAATTTTTCTGGAAAAGCAGTATATAAAAGCGCATTTTTCTGTCCTTTTGCTTTGTGTTTTTGTTTCGCTTTGGGGCTTTGTTGTTGGGGTTTTTTGTGTCATGTTTGAGACTGGCATTAGGTTCAAGCCATGGTTTTTCACAGCTTCTCTCAGACTCTGAACTGTTCTAAGGCTGAGTTTTGCCTCAGCGTGGTTTATATCCTCCCAGTGGAAGACAGAGAAATACCATCTAGTAAAGAGACATAATACGGGCCCTGGTCAAGCCATGGAAGCCTTTCATTTCCCGGGACTACTGAGTGCACACTATGTGCATCATCTGCAACCAGGGCAAAGTGGCTGCTATCTTCCCCTTTCTTTCTCTTCCTGTTGAGTTTTGCCAGAGGAAACAATTTCAGAAGATATTTTGGCTTGTAAGCCACCAAGGAGTTGAAAATGTGACAGATTTTTAGTTGTGGGTTTGTTTTTTGTTTTTTTTCTTAAAGTGAATAAAGTGAAAGAACTAATGCTGTATGATTATGCAGAAGTAAATAAAGCAGAGGAATTAATGCAAACTTTGATTTTTCAGAAGTTAGTGTCTGAGAGCTTTGGAAAGAACTTCAATTTAGAAAACATTGACTATACGGATCATTAGTAAACGCTGTATAGTCCTGCTGGTGCCCACCGCATAGCTATACCTGGAGAAGGTTTGATGTGCCCAATAGTAAGTGGTAGCAGCTGTATCTCCATCAGGCATTCTGCTGTTCAGTCATCTGCACAACTCATTTCAGGAGCGGGGAGAAGATCAGACTGCATGTTTCTCAACAGTATAGGTATCACAGCACTGACACAAACTCATTTTGAAAGAGCAGCAAACAAGTCACAAACATTAAGACACAGCACTCAACCTGTTGTGCCCTCTCAGATAGGAGGGCTTGTCTTCGTGGTGCGGCTCCAAATACATCAAAGCACAATGCACGTCCCAAGCAGTGGTGGTTGGCTGAATGCTGAAACATTCCCCGCAGCCCTGAGCTTCAGGGCTTAAGACCATTGATCTGCAAACTCCTGCTTAAAGGTGCAGAAGCCTGGCCTGTGAAAGCAATCTTGCTTTTCCAGAGACTGCCTCTAATCAATGGCCAAATAAAGCCATAAACCTTTTCCCGGTTAAGTAAGCAGGTAGGGAGAGAACAATGCCAGAGACAAGAGAAACGAGCTTGCTCTTTTTAGTTTACTTTTGTTAAATGCAATCATTGTGCAAGCAAAGGACAGAGAGTGTTGGTTAGAGTCAGAGCGGCACCATCTTACAAAGTGCCCAGAGTGGGCTCTGTCAGCCGCAGCTCCGCAGCAGTGTCGCGCCACCATTCCTGTGTCGCTATGCTGCTGTGAGCTGTGCCTGCTGTGCCGCACAAGTCCCTCTCTCTCACCGCAGGCCTTTCCAGACAAGCACAGCCCCTTGAGTCTCCCAGCGTCCCTCAGCAGTGTATGCGCTTTCACAGAGCCATCCCCATGTTCACTCATCTAACCAGTAGAAACACCAAAAATTAAAAATAGGCTGTTTAATCTTCAGTAGTTTAATCTAATCTGCAGATCTGTTCCTGCTAGAGGCACAGCACTTCTGAACAGAGGTGCTAATCAAGTACAGAGATCTAAGCTATCAGTTCTAAAGCAAGAACCGTAATATTTTATGACATACTGGTGATCATAACTGGCAAAGAGGAGGGGATGCTCTTTTTATGGCAGCAGAGGGAATGAACACACAGGGTGGTTGGTTGGTTTGTTTTTAACAACATGCGAGCCAAGGATTACGTTGCAACACAAAACTACAGCACTTGGATTGCTTCTTCCTTGATGCTCATGGAGCCAAGTTAATTGACAAAATCCAATATCCCAGTGTCAAATCCTATCATTTTAGGGCTGGTGAACAGATTGATTTGATCAACACACTTGTTATTTTCAGTGCCTACTGGAGCACAGCACAGAAACTGCTCTGACAGTATCAGCTCTGGATGTCAGTGCACAAACAACGCCCCAGTATCATGTGGTGTTTCCCTCTCTCCAGAAGCAGTATATTTATATTTGCATGGTACCACAGGCCCAACACAATGGGGTTTTTTTGAGCCCAGCCAGTTCACACGAAGCCTGGCATCGGCAGTGCCAGAGTGCAGCAGTAACAGTCATTACAGTTTAAACACAAGGAATGAGCTGGCTTTTGTATCAACTTTTCCTAACATGGTCTGCCAAGTGCTGGAAAAGTTGTAAGCCACAGGCCAGTCTCAATAAAGCACTAGTTTAAGAAAGGAGTCAGAGCACCAGTGTGGCCAGCTCAGTGAAGGCTTTTGCATAACACACTTCCACCTTCAAAAACAGACAACAGATGTATTCAGAATGTGAGGCACAGTACTAGAGAAAAAGGTTAGCATTCTTTCACATCAATCAGCAGCGTGGCTCACCTGGTTTCAGCACGTAGAACTGGGTACCCCATCTTTATAATGAGATGATGGTTTTCAGCAGCTTGCACAGTGGTTCACACAGCTCAACAGGTTGCAGTAGGAGGTGCGCCAGTGCCAAACACAGGCAATACAACCTTTTGACTCCAAATACTAGTCTCTTCTTTACACAGTTGAAGATCATATATGCCATTTAAAGACTCCTGATCCCTCCCATCACCTTCCCTTCCCTTCAGGCCCTAAAATCTGCACTGCTGCTATCACCAGACTGAAGGGCTTTTTGTCTGCTGGAGATAAGGATGAAGTTAGCTATTTAATCAGTGTTCTGTGGGAGGGAGAAGACAGGATGCATTCTTCCCTGGCCGGGAAATCTTGGACCAGCTCTGAGCAAATTAATGTTCCACAGCTGGAGTACTGTGTCCAGTTCTGGGCTCCTCAGTTCAAGAAGGGTGAGGAGCTACTGGAGAGAGTCCAGAGGAGAGCTACAAAGATGATGAGGGGACTGGAGAATCT